GGGTGCTCGCGAACCGACGCGACTCAACCTCGTCCGTTCCCCGGCCGCCCAGCGCTTCTGGCAGCACCAGCGGCAGTAACTTTAATCTGCAGCTTGATATCATGGACGACATCGCGGAGATCAAGGCAGCCAGGAAGGTTCGTCTCAAGATGTGGAAGACTCCTAGTCGAGAGAGAGTCTGCGAGGTCCAGCCTTTGGACGGCACTGCGGGTACGTCTGCCTCTGCGACGAGATATCACCAGGTATCCCCAGGACCTTCCTCCAAAGCTGATACCGTCGCAACGACTCCCATATCGCGTCGTTACTCGGACTTCGTCCCAACGCAACCGGTACAGCATCCAAAACGAAGAGCTTCTGATCAAGTCCCTCTTTCCGCATCTGCATCCTCAGCAGCGCCTCCGAAACCATCTTCATCCACGGGTATCGTCTGCTCCAACACAGATCTTATGTCGATCCTTTCTTCTCTAGCTTCCTCGGCACAAGAGATCAGCAAAGATCCCGAAGAGGAAACTGCACCCAGAGTGCCAGCATCCGGCAAAGGCAAAGAGTCAATGAAGGAGGTACAGAGAAACAGCAGCAGCAGCATCTCCGCAACAGCATCTGCAGACCAGAAAAGAAGTCGCCTGAAGAACCTGCGATCTAACAGCTTCGATGTGTCCATGCTGCTTGGTACAGGAGTCAAGTTGAAACAGGACACTGGGAGATGCAGCATTGCAGGACCGACGAGCTGGTTTGTCAAACGACACCAGCCGAAGAAATCGGATCCACCCAAGGGACAGTCATCCGTCGTAGTCAGTCTGTCACAACACAAACCAAATGTAAGCGTTGTGCAGAGTTCAGACAACTCCTCGAAGCCCCCTTCCGAATCAGAGCAACTTAAGACGTCGCCGTCAAAGAGTTCATCGCCTCCAGATCACAAAGTTGTCTGGGATGGGAAGAGTGGCTCCGTCGTGGACGCCCAAGTTCTTGGCAGCGCCATTGAAGTTTTCCTGGCCAGACGAGGAAGTGGGAACGACAGTTCGGGCGGTACTTCGCCTCAGAATTCTAAGCAGTCTCCCACCAAAAACAGCGGCAAGGCTGTAACTGGATCTGCAGGACCGGAGACGTCGTCTTGGTTTTCTGGAAACAAAGATGTTGAGGACGAAGCGGGTGCCTCAGATACGTGCGACACGTCTCTCTGCTCCACACTCAAGGACTTGTTTGTAAAATAATGACCCGCTGTCTGGAATTTCTGCCAGCTCGACGAGCATGTTATTACTTCTGTCTTGTAAAGTAATTTAATGTCGTCGAATCTAGCACATAGGAAAGACGAGCGTTAGACCTAGTGAGATTCTCCTGTCGGTGGATATTTGTTGTCTCATTATATAAACGTAAAGACTTGTAAAAAATGACGTTTATTTGTTAAAAATATAAGGTGAGTCGTAGCTGATCTCCCGAGGTATTCGAAATATACGTGGAAGTGTGAAGAAACACAGCGACAAAACTTGTAGTAAGGAATGAAATGAATGTATCAGCTTCATCGAGACACTTTAAACCAGATTTTTTCGTTGTCCCCCCCCCCCCCCCCCCC